TGATATGAATCCCTCCCAGTCCTTACCAGCTTCTAACCAGCCTCCCTCTGTGGCATGCTGGCCTGATTGCTGTGCTCATCTGGGCTGAGACAGAGCCCAGCACCAATGGGAGAGGGGAGTGGGTGTCTTGTAGTTTTGATGGCATAGATGGCCCAGTCAAGAAACTCAGCTCTGGGGGGAAAGTGGAAATAAAACCGAGGGTCATGCATGTTTCCCATGTACAGGACTTTTGGAAGCCACCTTAATTGTTTGACTCAAAGATCATGCTCAGTGCTACATAACCTGTCTGTCAGCTTTAGCCATTTGTACTCTGCTTATTCCCTTTCCAACCAGATGCTGCCATTTGTCTTTATACTTTGCGTGATGGCAATGGTGCTGCTTCCTGTTCCAGCAGGAAGTGAATAAAGAGCTCCCATGGGTTTGAAGGATGGGTCATTTTTTCATTTCTTTGGGATATCTTTAGGTGCTTCTTTTTACCACCAGATTGATACGATTTGGAGGCTTGAGGAATATGGCATGACTTAAGAAGAAGGATAGTCTTAAAACAGAGGGGTCCAAAAAGTCCTATGACATGCTCAGCACAGGCTGCCCTAGACAACCATCTGAGGCCAAAGCCACAGTAATGAGTATTTATCCAGAATGGCTCCTCTCAACACTTTCTTAGAGTGGCAGGTCAAGGTGCCATCCACAGACTCTGGGGGTCTCCTCTCAGTAGATCTCAGTAGTGCTATGAATTTATTTGCAACCTTTCTAAGTGGTGCAAAAGTAAAAGTGGATTAAACTAATGGCACCATAACATGTGTGAAAGCATTGGTTTTATACCTTAAGACAATTTTTATCACCATACACACAATTTTTTTAAGTTAATTTCACGTAAGTACATCATTTCAATATTCTGTGAGATGAAATGCAACAACATAAAGCCTGCCATAAGGAAAGACACCGTGCAATTATTTGAGTTATGAGCTAAACTAGCTGCATTTCCCCCATGGAATATAATTTTTATTTGACAGAATGATTGACAAACTCTGACTATTCAGATTAGAGTGTTTGATAGGCATCTTTTTCAAAAATAAAATGAGTCTGTCAATTCAAGGAAAACAACTATTAGCTTGTACTGCTAATTATAAAAGTTAAGCTTTAAAGCAGGAAAAAGAAACATTTTTTGAGAACTTGTGTTTGCTCAAGGAGCTTGACAGCTTCCCACTACTTGCTTTTCTGATGAATTCAGTGGTGATATGAGCAAATGTGATTTACAAAATATTTTATAAGAAGATGTGTCAACATTAGGAAGTCCTGTAAAATATCTTCCAAAGGACCAAAGCATGGTATTTCAAAATCATTCATGAGAAAAAGGTCCATTCAAGTTCAAGATAGACAAATAGATATTACTATAACAGATATGAAAAGGTCATGATATTATTTCAGATTCCATATTACAACTAATCGTTTATAAAATCCCACTTGTCAAGTTTTGGATAGGAACAAAGAAGATTCACAATTATTTGAAAAACTATTGAAATATCCTCTCCCTTTTCTAATTACACATCTGTATGAAGCTGGGTTTTCTTCATATTTCAACCAAAACAACATATTATAACAGATTGAATGCAGAAGCAGTTATAAGAATCCAGATGTCTTCTATTAACTCAGACTGTAAAGAAATTTGCAAAAATGCAAAATTATGCTAGTCCTGCCACTAAAATTCCCTTGTTTTGGAAAATATAGTTACTTTTTCATGAAAATATGTTATTTATGATAACATATAATGGAAATCTTATTTTTCAAAAGAACATACACATTTAAAAAATTCGGTTTAATTTCTAATCCAGTAAATATTGCTGCACATAAACCACACAAACAAAAGCTCTTAAAGATTCTCAAAAATAATTAGAGTAAGAGGAGATCAGATCACAAAATCAAAGGTTTAAGAACTGCTAAGCCAGAGCAGTTGGTAACACAGAAGGGAGAGGCTACCAGTGTGTGTGCACCATGTATAGTTGGCTGATATTTTAAGTGTCATCTCCTGTCTTCTCTCACTCCTCTTAAAGATGATAATACAAACATTAATAACTAGACTTATGAAGATTTTAAAAACAGCCATTCATAAGGAACACTTTAATGCAGAGTACAAACCAGTGTACAGAATCTGGCCATATGACATTCCACGATCTGTGTGCAGATGGGCAAGGACTGGAAGGGGACTTTGAAAAATGACAACTGAAAGATTAGGATGGTGGGATATGCACAGCATCATTTTCCCAGGAGATTAAAAAAGCAAGAATTGGGCCTTCCCGGTGGCGCAGCGGTTAAGCGCTGGGTTGCGAAGCTGCCCACAGCCTCTGCAGTGCCAGTTGGATCCCCGGCTACCGGGTGAGGGTCCCACATGGCGTGCAGACCCCTCCTGCTGCCCACTGCTCCCCTCAGCATTGTGCTTCATCAGTCTGCCTGTTCTGCTCCCTGTTCTGGCTCTGGTGAATTCTGTCACCCTCCCGCACTTCTGACCATACCCAGTGCTTGTATAAATAAATCTTTTTTAAAAAAATAATTAAAAAAATAAAAAAGCAAGAGTTCTCTAGGTTTTCCCCCATTTGGCTTCTAGTACCAAACTGTCTGTTAAGTTGATGGAGCCAGGAAAGTCCCCATGTTGTTTTACATGAGAGAATTTTGAACTCTTGGACAGTCCCAAATGGGATAGTTCTGGGGACTGGTTTTTCCTCCCATGTCTCTGGAAGGAGTTACACAAATTGCATACAGATTCCTAGGACTGAGGGTGGAGCTGAGCCTTCGAATGTCAGGAAGCCATTAGCACCTGGCTTTGTTTACACTGCCCTGACTAACTGTTCCATGTGGCCAGGAAGAGAGCTGGACCACTTCCACAAATGGCATCGAGTAAAATTACATGAAGATTCTCTGCAGGCCTCTGAACACACAGTAATGAATGAGAAGAGCAGGTAACACCCAAGGTCACTATGCAAATAGCTGTGTGTGGCCCACTGGCTGGAAGACCCCTGTGGACATGGTGATGAGGTTGCAAACACCTGTTCCCAAGTTGATGGGGACGTCTGAGCATGGGGCTGGCAGTGTCCTGTCTGAGTCTGCCTTGGGGAAGAGGTTGTTTATGACATTTGTTATAAAAATGATATTTTTTTCTTTCAGTTCATTTATTCAAAAAGTCGAGTTCTTACTATGAATTATCTATACTAAGAAGCAGGACTATAGGGGTGAACAAATCATAATAATCTTGCCCTCACAGAGGAAACTTCTGGTGGAGGGACAGAAAATCACTAAAATAATAAGCAAAATGTACAGTATATTGGATGATGACAAATAGCAAGGAGAAAGATAAAACAGGAATGTGTGTGTATGTGTGTGTGTGTGTCTTTGAGAGCAAGGAAAGCCTCACACAGAAGCAGGGCCTTTTTTCCAAGTGTATGAAGAATTTCAAGGTGGCAGCAGCCACAAGTAGGCTAAGCATGGAGTTCTCTGAGGGCCAGGCCCCATGAAGATGGGTGGAGACTTTTGGCCTCTTTTCTGTCTTTAGGCGGTATGCCACCTCCAACACCATTTTCCTTTCTGCAGTACATGAAACTTTTTAGAAAAGTTTCTTTTCTTTTTAGTTCCTTTTTTCTTTCATGGAAGAGGCTCTGCTCTCCAAGTTGTCAGGCTCAAAATAGGACCTTCTTGAAAGTGAAATGAAACCCAGAATCCTGCTGATAACTCCTATGTTTTCAAAACAAACAAGGATGGTTTATGGGCTAGTTAAAAATCCCCAACCACAGCAGTAGCCCTGAGGTAGAGTCGTTTTGGATAAACTCTGTAACCCAATCGGTCCTCCCGCAATTCCACAGACACCCAGCGCTGTCAGTCAGGGCTGGAACGCTTTTCATAGTGAGTAGAGAAATGGAGGATCCCCAGAGGCTCTTAGGAAAAGGGTATGTTAGCACATGGCCCAGGGTAACCAGGGGCCCCAAACTGTAAAGGGGTACACACCTAAAAGGGATTCTGCCAAGGTGAAGGAAGCAGACTCTTAGTGTGAATGACTTTTAATAGAATCAGTGCACAGGGAGAGAGAAGGACTTCAAATAATTTTCCAATAAAACTCCCAAATGAGGGCCTCCCTGGTGGTGCAGCGGTTGAGCGCTGGGTTGCGCAGCTGCCCGCAGCCTCTGCATTGCTGGTTCGATCCCCGGCCACCGGGTGAGGGTCCCACATGGCACGCAGACCTCTCCTGCTGCCCTCTGCTCCCCTCAGCAGTGACCTTCATCAGTCTGCCTGCTCTGCTCTCCCCTCTGGCTCTGGTAAATTCTCTCACCCTCCCACGCTTCTGACTCTACCCAGTGCTTGTATAAATAAATAAATAAATCTTAAAAAAAAAAACTACAAAAAAAATAAAAAATAAAACTCCCAAATGATCCATCCCCTTGTGGGCAAATGCCCAGCCAAGCAGGGTTGGCCTGAAGTGGGGCTGCTGAGGCCTGTAAGCTTACCACAAGCCTAAGGCAATTTCTGACAAGGAACCACAAGGAAGGGGCAAGGGATGTTAGGAAAATGGTGTCTCCCCTTCACGGAGATATATCTAGAACAGGACGCCTGGAGGTGCCCTGCCATAGGACAAACGAGTTTAAATGACTATTGAAGGGCAAATAATTCTTCAACGGCTGCCCTGAGCCTGTGCCCCCAACATCCTCAAAACTCAAGCTGCCTACTAGTAGATGAAGAGAAAAGGCAAGCAGGTCCCTGCCTGAGTCCCCTGCCGGAGACCACCCTTCACGAGAACTTCACAGATCAACCCAATTTTCACCTAGTGGATCCTCTGTGTCCTGGTGCCTGAGCCCCCAGGAACTCGGCGCACCACTATTTAGCACTGACCTTTACATTAATTGTTCCACATCCCTGGTTCTGAGAACATGTGATGCTCTGGAAACTGAGCTTCTCACTCATTTCTTTTATGAAGCAGACAAAACCCCAGCAAAGGCAATCCTTTCCAGAAAGTCCCGCACTGGCAACCCTGGAGAGAGCTAGTGAAGGCTGGAGGGGAAAGAGCAAGAGGGAGGGAAACAAGAAAGATTAAGAGGAAAGTAAGACCTAAGAGCTTAATTTTAATGCTAAGGAGTCTTTTAAAGAATTATGGTCCCACAAGCCAGCAGCAACTTTTTGCTGAGTCCGCCGCTCTGACCACGAAGGCGTATGTTTCTGTGCATTAACTTTTTTAATCTGGTAAGGTGTCATTTAGGAAATCCATGGCCCAGTAATATCCTGCTGAAAGTTAATTGACAGGCCTCCCACAAGTGCTTAATTCTGGGTTGGTGCATCGGCATGGCAATTAAAGAGTGTAACTTGCTAAGGAACTCTGTGGTTGACATAAGTAGACACAGGCTCCCCATCTAGTGAGGGGCTGACCACAGAGCAGATGGAGGAGTAACTGGCCACTGCCCTCAGATGAACCCTCTGCCTGCTCTTCCACCAGCATAGCTTCATTCTTTTGCACTTAGAAGGCAGTTTTTGGTACTTTTGAGCTTCAAATTAACATTCCCGTGACCCTGTGAGGCGCCACATTTTACATGCTTATTAAGCAATGTCTATACTTTCAGTTTTTATTTCGGGAAAGCTTGTCAGATATGGAGTTCAGGGCCTGGGAGGGATTGGAGCAACTAAGAGAAGGACAAAAAGGAGCTACAGATGAGACCGAGAGAAGAAAGGGATGGGCAGAAGACCAGGAATGAGCCTCCCCTGGAGGTCCTGGTGTGAGGTCCTTAAGCTTTGTTCGTGGGGTAGAACCCCTGGCAGCCTGAGGAAGTCTTTGGACCCTTTCTCAGAATAATGTTTTCAAATGCAACAAATAAAATTCATAGGATTATAAAGGTAGACCACAGTTATATTGAAATACATGATCAAAATATTTAAAAACCAAATTTGTGGTATGATAGTCTATGTATATCTTTGCTAATGTGCTAAATGCAATTAAAGGGAGTGTCTACTAATTCTTCCTGTTTCAGAGGCAATGATGTTAATAAATGCTATTTGAAGCTATCTGTAAAAACTAATATCTGATATGAAAACAATTTTGATTTAATGGGTAAAAAGTTGTGGGGGCTACTACAAGAACTGTGGCTGATTGCCAACCTTTATAATGGAAGGAAATGCACAATGTGCATTTGAAATTGGTGAAAACAGAGCTTCAGTTTCTACCCAATTTCATGAACTTGCTAAATTCTCTCTAGGGAACACTGTGGGTCTGTTGGCCTCAAGATAAAGAAGCTCTGATACAGGTTCAAAATTATCTACTTATAAATGGAATACAGAGAAACCAAACAAAAGGTCAAAGATAAACCTCTAAATCTGACTATATATCTGAGGCATTGAGGAGGGGAGGGGAAGAGAGAGCAGGAAAATGAAGAGGAGGGAAGGGGTAAAGTCAGCAGGGGGGTGGGATGGGGTGAGAGCAAAGGAGGGAGGGGAGTCAGATGGAGAATTACTAGGGCTTTCTTGGTGGATGTGATGAAATAATATACATTTGTAGAGGTGTAAACCTATACTCCTAAGACACATCCTATGCTGTAAATAAACATTACCTCAAAAATATAACTTAGAAAAAATTATCCAGGCAAACCCAGCGGGGAGAAAAATCCTCAGATCCTTAGACCCTGTAAATCACATAGCAGCCTGGGCGGGGGATGTTTGCTAATTGCTGCAGATGAAAGAATTGGGCCAAGGTTTCTCATTTAATTTCTTCTGCTGGTTTTATAAAAATCATTATTTAAAGTTCATAAAACATGCCTGTGGCTCACCAATTGCCAAAAAAAGGATGGGTAATTTAGAAGCTGCCAAATGAGGGCTGTCATTGGTACATCTGCTTGGGGTTCAGGAGAAAAGACTAAGACTGGTTGCAACTTAAGCGGGCCTTCCTGAGCTAGCTCATCTGCAGCCACCTTGGAGATCTGTATGTGACTCTTGGCACCCTTCCAAGGGCATTTCATCAGGATATTGCTTCCCAGTGGAGATGGGGAATTTCCAAGGGGGAGATGGTAGTCAAGCAAGCTCAGAGGGCAGAAGCTTTGTACTGGAGCATATTTCTTCTCAGTTGTTTTTGCTCCTCTCTTTTGGGGTCTTCCAAGCCTTTGAACAAGTAATTCCTCAAGTCAGGTCTTCAAACCACTTAACTCCAAGTGCTTACAAATGGCACCATGGAAAGGGGTGGAGCCAGGTGGAGTTCTGCTGGATGCAGAAGTTCTAAGTCCACAACTTGCTCTGGTTGCCAAGGCAACTTGCTCCTGTTGACAAAAGTGGTGGCAGCCAAGGGGATGGAGAGAGGACATATGTGGTCTTCCTTTAAAAACACTCCAGAGCCTATTGAGTGGTATATTCTTTATATGCTTTGAATATTAACTGCTCATATGTGTGATTTGCAAATATTTTCTACCATTCCATAAGTTCATTTTATTGACTATTTCCTTTAAAAGCTGTGCAGAATCTTTTTAGTTTGATGTAATTCTGCTTGCTGATTTTTGATTTTGTTGCTTGTTCTTTAGGTGTTTGTCCAAAAAGTCATTGCCAAGACCTTTTGCCAAGGAACATTCTCCCTGTGATATTTTTCTAGGCGTTTGATGACATAAGGTCTTACATTTAATCCTTCAAACTAGTTCAAGTTAATTTTTGTGAGTTTTATAAGAGAAAGTCTAGTTTCCATGTTAACATCAAATTTTCCCAGCACTGTTTATGGAAGAGAATATGTTTTCTCCATTGAGTATTTTTCACTCCTTTGTCAAATATTACTGGGTTTTATATATGTGAGGGTTTTTTTTTTCCCCTTGGATTCTTAGTTCTTTTCCACGGGTCTATCTTTATGCCAGTACCAAACTGTTTTCATTACTATAGCTTTGTAAAATAGTTTGAAATCAGGAAATGCAATGCCTCCATCTTTGCTCTTCTTTCTCAGCATTGCTTTGACTATGTAGGGTTTTTGTTGTTCCATACAAATTTTATAAACAGTGCACCCACAAACTGTAATAAAATTTAACATTTCATTGACCATGAAAAACAGACCATGAAAAAGTCTTCATATATTATCATGTTTATATAATATCTAAAAATCAGGTAATATTGGCCCTATTTTATAAAGGAAATATATCTAAAGTGACAAAGTGATGAGTTGGAATTTGAACACAAATAGTCAGGATGAATGTTATTGAAAGATTCTTATATTTACATAACAACAGTCCTTTTGTTAGCATGCAACCAAATGACCCCAAAGTGCTAGCAGGTGCATATTTTTAAATGGATTTGGCCATCCATGCACATAAAGGCAAAGGAAAAATACTCTTTGTGTGAATAATTTTTAATAGAATTGGTGTGCATTGACATAGAGAAGAAAGGATTTCAAATAATAGTTGCACAATTAAACTCCCCCCAATTACCCATCCCTCTTAGGCAAATGCCCAGCCAAATAGGCTTGGCCTGAAGTTGGGTCACTGAATTCTGAAAGTTTGCCACAGGTTTAATGTACTGTAAGGGCAGACCTCCCAGCCCCCAGCAAGTCTTCACTCTATCTGGGCTCTCTGGCGTTCTCTGCTTCTGCTTCAGCTTCTCCTTCAGGTTCTGCTGCTGCTGCTATTGCTGCTGCTGCTGGCGTCCCCACGATGCCGCCCTTAAAAGCACAGTCTTAGCTCAGCTGAATCCCATCTACCTATGCCCACACCCTATTCCAGGTGCCCGCCATCAGGCATGCATTCAGGACAAGGATCCATCATCTATCCTGATGGCAGAAGGGCAGAAAAGCCTGATATTTTCTTTACCCTACAGTCCACCCCCTTAGGGTTTTCTGCCATACAGTCTACACATATATACAATTTTCTAAGCAAACAAACAATGCAGCCATGGCCCACAAAAGCAAATACATCAAATATAACAAAACACAATATAACAAAATACAACAGAATACAAATAAGTCCAGGCAGGGCACCAACCTAGTGCAAAAGACAATTATTGGTACCAGCAGATGAGCCACCAAATCTGCTGCCGAAGGCACTGCTCATATGAGGGAGGGGAATCACTCACGACATCTTTTGCAACATGCCAGGAGCTGTCAGGCTTCCTGGCCTTCTCTGGCTGCAGTCTCGGCTACAAGGCACACACAGCATCCACCCCCAGGATGCACTAGCTCTGGGATTGGCAATTTTATTCTGTTGGGGGTAATCGCCAACCCTCAGGGTTTCTGTCTGCAGTCGCTCCAACACTCGGCCTTCACAGCCACCCATGCGACTCGCAGACCCCTGCACTCAGGCCCACCCACTGCACAAGCACATGGGTCGGGGATCCAAACTCTACATTTGGCTTGGGCTCCACCCCAAGCCACGTTCCCCACCTGTCCCCCAAGGACGGGTTCCTCAGCTCCTCACCCTCACTCAAGAATGAGCAGGGCATCGCCCACAGGTGATTTTACGAGACTCACAGGTCTTCAGCATACCCAGGCTGCTTAACAGCCACTCAGGGCTTCTCAACTTATCATCAGTACCAGCTTTTGCTTTCTTAGTTGGCTTTTCTCCTCCACCTGGCTGCTGGGCATGCACAGGCTGCTTTTGGCCATCTAGGCCCACTGGCCACCCCCAGATTCTCAAAAAAAAACATAACCTGCCAAGGTCCTCCGCCTTCTGGCGGGATTGTCAGTCCAGGTTTATCAGTCCATGTCCATTGGCCTCTCCCTGCATCAGCAGCGGCCTGCTGCCTCAGGGGTCATTGGCTGGTCCTTTCCGGTGTCGTTGCCTGGTCCTTTCGGGCATCTCCTCCATGCGAGGTCTCGTCCCACAGCTCCGGACCGTATCCACCTTCTGTGCCGCCATGGCACCTCCAGCGTCATCACAGGCAAACAGTCTGTTCTCCTTAGTCCCTCCAGGTCTTCGGAGGGCTCCAATACCCGTCTGCATGGATCCTGCCGACTTACGCCAATTGTAGAGGCAGGAAGGACCACTGTGCAGGTTTTCTGATCCCATGCAGACCGGGTAAAGGAGGAGTCAGAGTCCTCAGTAGTTTTGCAGGTTTTTTATTTGGGGCTCACCAGGCATATGGCAGGCAGGGGTGCTGGCTGGGAGGCTGGCAGACCTCCCAGCCCCCAGCAAGTCTTTACTCTATCTGGGCTCTCTGGCGTTCTCTGCTTCTGCTTCTCCTTCAGGTTCTGCTGCTGCTGCTATTGCTGCTATTGCTGCTGCTGCTGGCATCCCCGTGACGCCGCCCTTAAAAGCACAGTCTCAGCTCAGCTGAATCCCATCTACCTATGCCCACACCCTATTCCAGGTGCCCGCCATCAGGCATGCATTCAGGACAAGGATCCATCATCTATCCTGATGGCGGAAGGGCAGAAAAGCCTGATATTTTCTTTACCCTACATGTACCTTCTGGTGGGAAACAACAAGAAAGAGGTTAGGGCGGCCCTAGAGAGCTAGGACAGAAGGACAGACTCAGAATTCAAAATATACCACATAATCCAACATGACATCAAGATAAAAGTTGCCATTTTCTCTGCCAAGGACCAGGAGCAGCCTCCCCACATGTCTCTTACCTACCTGTCTCTTCCAAGTACTTCTATTTGTCTCTCCTTCATATGTCTCCTCCAAGTCACCTTCCAGCAGCACCAAGGAGCAAGTAGAAGCCAGGAAAGCAAGAGAGTCAAGGCACATGTATGTTCAGTTATAAACCATGCATGGCTGCTTAACTCTGCCTCTAGTTCCCAGCAGCCCCCATTCAGGGAGTCAGGTTCATGGAATGCTGGGAGTTGTAATCCCTGGTGCCTGAGATCTCACAGGCCTGCAGATGGGGGGGGAGTCTGTAAGACGTCAGAACGTTATTCACAGGCTGAGTTTGCTTTTTGTTTCTTTAACACTTTCTTTAAGATCAGGGACCCTTTTATTTAAAAGCTTATTTCTAACCATTTAAGTGGTTAGAAGGCCTGGCAGCCTCCCAGCCCCCAGCAAGTCTTCACTCTTTCTGGGCTCTCCGGCGTTCTTTCTTGTTCTCTCTAATTATCTCATGGTTCGGTTCTCTCTCGGCTTCTCTGCTTCTACTGCTTCTCTTCTGCTGGCATCCCCGTGATGCCGCCCTTAAAAGCCCAGTCTTAGCCCAGGTGAATCCCATCTACATATGCCCACACCCTACTCCAGGTGCCCGCCATCAGGCATGCATTCAGGACCGCAAGGATCCATCATCTATCCTGATGGTGGGAGGGCCGAAAAGCCTGATACTTTTACCTTACCCTACAATCCTATTTTTTACATTTTTTCAATGACTCCCAATGAGAGCAGATACAAACTGAGGCACAACAACAACATCTTTATCGATATCAGGAGATTTTGCAGCCCAGAAGTCCCATCGTCAATCTCCTTCTTCAATGCTGCTGTTTGCTGGCCCCAGTTGAGACCAGCTAAGGAATTTGTTGCATTGGTGAAAGAGCACTAGATTTGAGACCTAGATCTGCTGGGTGGCGTTGCAGAAATCACCTACTAACTAACCTCTTTGAGAAGCACCATCTGTTCCACCAGGTCATGGTGAAGCTTGCTTGAGATGATCTGTAGACTGTAGGCACAGCCATTTCTGTGCACAGATGTCCTGTTTTGCTTGAGTATCCTGGTTAGATCTGAAGCATGTTATTTCTTGTAGCGAGATCGTCCATGGATTCTGTCCCTAGAGGGGGCGGGTTACTTTCCTTTCTTCTTAATTACCGGCTGAGCCAACCACCACTCAGAATCAGCATATACAAATTTGTATTGTTATTGATCTTGTTAAAGACTCCACTCTTCCATGGCACACACTGGGGTAGAATTTTTTTTATCCCTAGAGCTGCCAATCATTCCTGCAAGCAAAAGCACTCAGAAAATCTAGGCAGCTGGTAATATTTACGGAGCACAAACCAAGTTCCAGGAACTTGTTCGACACATTCCCCATTGATTAATGGAAGAGCCTGTGAAGTAAACACCATTATTACCCCAATTTAATAAGTGAAGTGTCAGAGACCAAAATGGGAAGACGCTCATAACAAGGTGAGTTAGGGATGACATTTGCACACAGACACCACAACTAGAATCCGAGTCTAAACCACTCTGTGTTGTTTTTAGAATGCATGTTCAAGATGAGCACCAGTAGGTGGGAATGGAGAGGGTTTCTGCATTCTCCCAATTGAATTGGGGTCTCCCACCCCCAAATCACATCTACCCAGAATCTCAGAAACAGGATATATTTGGGAATAGGATCTTTGCTGATGTGATTAGTGAAAATGAGGTGATACTGGATTAGGATGGGCCCTAAATCCAATATGACTTGTGTCTTTATAAGAAGAGGGACATTTGGACATAGGAGAGAAAGCCCTGTAAAGATTGGGGCTGAAGGGAATGCAGAGATTAGAGTTATACTTCTACAAGTGTACGAATGCCACGAATTGCCAGCAAACCAACAGGAGCTGGGACAGGGGCATGAAAAGTGTTGGCCTTCAGAGTTCCCACCAGGAATCAACCTTGCTTACATCTTGATTTCAGACTTCTGGCCTCGGGGACTGGAAACATAACATTCTGTTTTTTAAGCCACTTAGTATGTGGCACTTTGTTACAGCAGCCCTAGGAGTCAATACACATTTATTCTCCCAGTTCTCTGCTACCCAGTGGGGTGAAAAGTTTTGCAGAGATGACTAAAAATCCTAAGAATCTGAGGCTTTGGGGGGGGGATTAGTTTTGCATTAGCTCATTTCCTTTTTCTCTGATTATGTGTCTTAGAAAACTACTCCACTCAGATTAACAAAGAATCAGATCATCCCACAGGCCATTATTTCTTGGTAAAGCAAAACCAGTCTCAAAAGGTGGTCTTCTTGAACAGCCCATCTTCATTAATCAACCAACAATACTGCTTAGTGTGAATGTGCACTTCCTCCTGCCTCTGTTGGGGGGGACGGGGCCAAGGAGGGCTGGAGAGAAGTTATCCTAGCCTAAGGACTTGAATTGGCCTATGAAGAAAAGAGATTTCAAATACCTTTTCTGTAATTTCAAATATCTGTTTTCAAGTTGGGGGTGGCGGGCTGGATCAAATGGCCTGTTAGTGACGTATTCGACTGACTGTTCACAAAGCTGATGCTGGAGTCTAGATTGAAGCAGAACCTGGAGGTTACTCAATTTCTTGGCATGATTGAAAATAAGAAATTTTGCTTAGAGATTGCAGAGGGGCAAGGAAACAGGAACACAGTGAGGAAAGTGAGGCCTAGAAACAAATTAAGAGAGGTTGCCCAGTAGAAGTCCTTGGCTGGAGGGCTTGACTTTTAAGTAGAGACAGGGCTGATTTTTATGTGAGACTATGATGTAACTTCCGCTCTGGTTGCATCAAACCTTCAGAAAATGTTTCCTGAATACTCAGCCCTGTATTGATTGTTCTTTGGGGGAAAGAAAGAAGTGTCCTCAGAGACTTAATGGGAGATGTTATACAGAAAAGAGATGCAGAGCAGGGGAGACACTGTCAGCTTGAATTTTAATTCATTGTAAATAATCCTAAGGGGCACTGAAGTCAATCAGACAACACTAAACTTTAACTCTCTGTCCCTTCTCCAAGAGTTTCTTTGGAATTGCTAATTTCATTGTCTCCTTTTCTGGTCACAAGGAAATAAATATTTGTCCTTTGTATAGTCTTCTTGTCAGTGTCTTTATTTAGCCCAGATACCTCCTAAGAGAATGGACACATAGAGCTTCATTATATGGTCACATTGCTCCTCCTCTGCTGCGCTTGTGTAGTAAAATCTTCCTGTTTCTCTTATAAGGAGACTTGTGATTGCATTTAAGGTCCACACAGATAATCCAAGATAATGTCCTCACATCAGCATCCTTTACTTAATCATACCTAAAAAGATCCTTTTCCTCCCTGTACACATGAACATTCACAGCTCCAGGGAGATAAGGACCTGATATTTGGAGTGGGGGGCATTATAAAGTCAATTGCTGGGTCTTTTGAGGCAGGAAGGGTAGGAAGTGAAAACCATGGAAAGTTGCTGGAGAAGAGTTCTTGGACTTGGTAACTGGGCTGATGGGAAGCCATGGAAGCCAAACCTTGACAAAGGCGTACCTGGATTCAGGTTGGCAATATTGCATAGCCTAGCCTCCTGTGGACCTGGAATTGTGATCATTTTTTTTTTTTTTTTTACCATTTTCATGTTCCTAGAAGAGCCATTTTCTTTACATTTCTTGTGAGTTTCACAAGGCATACTTGGAGAAATGGAGAGGAAGATGCAGAAAAAACAGTCCTCTTTGTTCATGAATTTGAAAGGCTTAGCTACAAATGTAGTGTGAAATTGTCTGAAATTCCTGGCAGTGGACATGAGTCACATATTACCTCTAACATTTACAGAACATTCTTCACAGCAATTTCTACACTTTGTTAAGAGAGATACTGAATTTGTTGCATACAAGAAACCGCATCCAAAGACCTTTTGTTAGAGCAATGGGTCAATTCCAAGAAGACAAGATGTTGTAGACATAAATTAAGGGCCATGTACTTGGCTCACAGAGCCAACTGGACAACTTCTACAAGAAGGAGGAGACCTGGTTGAGGATCAGCACACATAAATACTCATCATAAGCTATACTGAATCAAGAAAATGTGATGAGGGGGCCTTGAAAGATGTGGTGTTTCAAAAGTCGATGTACTCTTAGGCTGCATTCATAGAAAAATGCAATTTCAACAGGGTAGATAGGTGAGAATAAAGGGAGATTGCCAAAGGGATAATAAATTCATTGAATGTACAAATCCACCGCTTTTGGAGGTTTCCAAAAATGAAGGTTAACACTGTTGCTGGAAACACCTATGCTATCCTACCTGAACATTAGATAGCTGGCTTTAAGGAAGAATAACATCAGAGGGAAGCTGAGAACTACAGGAAAGATATGGATAGATTTAGGGCAGTCTGGGGAAGAAGTTATTCCAAAGAAGATAATATTTCATAGTGATCTTTAAAAATGCTCCAGAATTATTAAATATTTTATATAAATATATATCATTTTTGTAAACGTACGTTAACTTAAATGTAAACACAGGGTTCTATGTCACACTAGCCAAACCATACTGGGAGCATAAATTTAGTAGACACCAGGCAGGAAAACTGGAGGGTGTTTGTAGAAGAGCAGCTAAAACTGTGCAAGTTCTGGAAAACCACATGGTAAAAATTGGAGAGAAGATTAGGTGTGTTTAGCTCAGTTATTGGTATGTCCACTTTTTAGGAAGAGAAAAAATCTACTTATTCTGAGGACTCATGTAGTGTTCAGATAACTTTAGAATTTAACTCTAAGGAACAACTTTAAGAACAAACTTTGTAATGGTTTTGGGGGAAAATGGTGTCCCCTTTTATTTAAGCAGAGCATTGAGAGTTTGATTGTTGCAAAGCTTAGATCACATTATCTATAAAATGACTGTGTCCTGAGGTGCTAGGGCAGATACTATTGACTATCTACACCAGCCCTACTCCCTTCTTCAGGAAACATGTTTGGGGAAGAAAGCCCCAATTCAGCACTAGACCAGGAAGAGGAGGGTAAATCCTGGTTCTCGGGGAAGTAAGTAATCCTAGACGTATGTAATCCTACTTCTCGTTACTGGTGATTGATTTAGAGTCTAGCATATGACTAGCTATGGCTAAGACAAGTGGGGAAGTCAGCTGGGATAATTTCTTATTTTTAAAGATTTTATTTATTTACACATACAAGAGCTGGGCTGTAGACCAGAGGTGCAGGGGGTGAGAGGATTCACCAGAGACAGAGTGGGGAACAGAACAGGCAGATCGACTGAAATACACTGCTGAGGGGAGCAGCAGGCGAGATGGGAGAGGTCTGCTGTGCCATGTGGGTCACCTCCCTGGCCAGAGATTGAACTTGTGCTTCCGACAGCTTGATAGTGCTGAGACTTAACCCTTTGTACCACCAGGGAGGCCCAGCTAGGATAATTTCTAAGAAGGATTTTGCTTCCTGGTACAATGAGGGATGCAAGGAGGCCGGCCTCTTTAAATTGCCTTCAATGTGATTAGGCAAGAATATGCAGTTCAGAAATATAACAACGTTTCCCCACCATGCAGCCCAGAGCCTGTGTCTGTGATAAATAAGATATTGTTGAGTCCCTTCTCAGAGTCAAATCTCTGATCTCTGATCAGACATGTTGTTTGTGAGATAATTTAAGATCTCCCTGGTGGGGGCCTCCCTGGTGGCTCAAGGGGTTAAGCACCGCACTATGAAGCAATCCACAGTCTCTGCAGCACAAGTTCAATCCCCAGCGAGCTAGGGAGCAACCCACATGGTGGAGCAGACCTCTCCTGACTCCTGCTGCTCCCCTCAGCAGTGTATTTTGGTCAATCTGCCTATTCTGTTCCCCATTCTGTCTCTGGTGAATCCTCTCACCTCCCCCACCCCCGCATCTCTGGCTGTACCCCAGCTCTTGTATGCATAAATAAATCTTTAAAAAAAAATAAAGATCTTTGGTCATATGCCACTGTCAGCTGGGCAGTTTATGCCTGCAACCAGATGTAGGCTAGCCCAGTCAAAACCTGTGAGTCTAAGAAAATCCTGACGTTTGAGGTGGCAGGATATAGTCAGTATAACATACATCTTCTACATACACATGCATCAAGTAACTGTAAGTGGACTGTAATGCATGAATAGAATTATTATCGAGACAGCAACTTGAATAATGAGTTCCAATCTAGGCCTGGCATATAAGGAGAAAGCAGGAAGCCTTTTAAAGAGAAAAACAGTGTTACAGGAGCCCTGCAACCTGGTCCTTGTTTGTGTGATTGGGTTAACCTGATCCTTCTTTGTTACTCATCCTATTGTTAAAAACCACAGAACCGTGGCTCCCAAAACTCTACTTCCCAGCTACCCTACCCAATAAGGCCAGGACCCGGATTTTCTCCAGCCCAGAGTGTGGCTCAGGGCAACTGCCACCACTCTCCTATTATATCATCCACGAGAAACACTCCTCACCTGAAACCAGTTATTGGAGTTTTCAAAATTTGTGTGGAATTAATCCATGGAAGCCAGACAAAGATCCTTCAGAATCAGTAGCACAACCAGGATGATGGGGAATCTGGAACTTATGTGAACATGAACAGAGGGCTAGGAAAGCTTTGCCTTAAAAGAGAAATCTGATTTTGGTGGTGAGAAGGGTTAGGGGTGAAATTTGAAAGTTTTTCATGTAGTATGAAGTTTAAATGTATTTTCTTTAGACAGTACAGAGAGGCAAATTCCAGTTTGCTATAAGGAAGAACTTTCTATGAACCAGAGCATCCAGCAATAAACAGAGAGACCTAGGGAGTGGGGAGGTCCAGGGATTGGACAAAGAGAAACTCAGAAGCTGGCCGCCATTTTGTTCAAGAGCAATTCAGTAACTTTGAACTGGATGATTCCAGAACATGCTTAGAGAGTGCTCTTCATTAGCATTATTTTACAAATCAGGAAATTAAGGTTAGTGAGGCACTGATGTATCCTGGCCCTCATGACTGGCTAGAAGCAGAGGCTGAGTAGTAAGTGAGGTGCAGGAATGTGGTGATGCTATGACCAGCCCTGAGCACACCAGGGACTGTGGAGTTCAGGCTTTGCAGGACTTTGCACTGTTTCAGACACAAGATAGCTGGACTCCTGAGATCTCTAGACTTGTGATGGGAATTCCAGAAGCTGCCTCCTAAAGGCCATCATAAAGGAAGATAGTCAAGCATTAAGACACCATAGTGATCTCAAAACATGACACCATTGCCATTGGTGATTAGAAGGAACACAGGGAAGATGAAGCCCGTTTGGTGGGGGCCCTAGCACTGAATAAGCCCAGCCAAAGGCCCGCAGAGGCAGTAGACAGAGATCCTTCTGGTGCCCCTTGGAGGATGCTGCCTCATCCTCACTTAGTCCAGCCAGGCTGCAGAGGGGGGTTTAACAGCTGCACTGGTGCAAGTTGGAGTCTCCAAGAAATAGACCCTGAACCTCTGGATTATACCTGCAGGTTTAGTTGGAGGGGAGTAGATTGTGCAAAAGGGAAAGCTGAACTTCACTGCAGTTGTTAAAAAGGCCTCAGCTCCACTCCCCCAGGGAGCTCGGGGCTGGGATGGCCCTGCAGATCTCTCGCGG